AATATTGTTTTCAATAATATTCTATCTATCTGTTAATATATGTTAATTTATTATCATTATATATCTGTTAACATCTCAGAAATGAACAAACTCAGACTTTACAGGGAAGTGATGAACTGAATTCATGTGTTTAGACTCTATCAGGCGTCTGGAGGATCTGCTGTCCTGGTGTCAGAAGAACACAGCGGGGTACAAACATGTGAAGGTGAAAGACCTGAGCGAGTCCTGGAGGTCCGGGATGGCCCTCTGCGCTCTCATCCACAACTTCAGACCTGAACTCATGTAGGATCACCTTAACCAACAGCGAACAAGAATATTAGTGTCTGATTAAACATGCAGAGCTCAGTTTTGCTGTGAAAAGTTCATGCTAGATACAGAAAGTTTGAGGTCAATAAGATTTTTTTTTAAAGAAATTAATACTTTTATTCAGCAAGGATGCGTTACATTGATCAAAAGTGACATTTAAAGAATTTATAAAGTTACAAAAGATTTCAGTTCCAAACAAATGCTGTTCTTCTGAACTTTCAGTTAATCATAGAATCCTGAAAAAAATTACTGGAGCAATGGCTGCTGAAAATTCAGCTTTACTATCACTGGAGTACATTACATTTTAAAATGTATTCAAAAAGAAAACATGTATTTCAATTTGTAAAAATGTTTCACATTATTACTGCTTTTACTGTATATGAGTTTACAAATAAATGCAGCATTGGTGAGAGAGAAAATACTTCTTTCAAAAACATTCAAAATCTTACTAATCCCAAACTTTTGGATGGATGCATAGAGAGATAGACCTATAATACCTGCAATATTATGCAAATGATATGCATGTTGTCGTCTCTTGCAGTGACATGTCTTGTCTAGATGAATATAACATCACCGGGAACAATAAGTTGGCCTTTGACCTGATGGAGAGAGAGTTTGGGATCACTCCGGTAATGCGTGCCAGTGAAATGACCACCTGCGGGAAAATCGACCAGCTGTCTATGGTTGTCTACCTCACACAGATACGCAACGCTCTCACAGAGAAACATACACCAGCAGGTAATTAAGACTGTATCTGGACGCATTTATAACTTTGAAATACACTTTTACTGATTGTCTGAAATATGTAATACAATTTATTGGTTGTATTTACGTTGCTTATTCAGTCTCAGATTGAATATCTTTTTTTAAAGGGTTTTACAGTATCTGTATTTTACAATTACTTCTGTTATGACTGGCAAACCTGTGCATACTGACATAGTTCACACTGCGTTTTTTTGTTTGTTTGTTTTTTGTAGTGAGGATTATAGATAAATAGTTGTTAATGTGTTAAAAAGGTCTGTAATTAAAAAAAAAAGTAACTGTAGGCAGTCATACACTACGGGAGGGGTCGCCAACTGGCAGACTCCAGTCCGAATCCGGACCACGAGATGTGTCCATCCGGACTGCGAAGCCTTTTGATATAATGAAATAAATAAAGGCCAAACGCTATTTTCTAACAAAATCAAGTTTATATGAAGCACATCAGGTCAGCTCAGTAGAGCCGTTTGGGTCCTATGGCGCCACGGGTTGCTACTACATTCTGTTGCTACGGTAGGACATGCAGTGAAGAGAGCGGCACGCTGCGCGCAGACAGATGAAACTTTCAGTGAGTGAAAAGCAAAGGCATTCTCAAAAATTATTTATGATTTCAGGAGGTCTTAAATTTGAGGACGGTAGGACAAGAATTGCGATAATCTTAAAACTTCAAAACGCTTTTTTCATTGAATATGCACGTTTCAAAGTCAGCTGCTGCATTGCTTTGTGTACTGCCGTTACCGGGAAACCGCTATATTTATGCCAGTGGTTTTCAAACTTGTTCCTGTGGACCCACAGCTCTGCACATTTTGCATGTCTCCCTAATTTACACACCTGATTCAGATCATCATCTCATTAGGAAAGAGCTCCATGAACTCAAATGAGTGTGTCAGATAAGGGAGACATGCAAAATGTGCAGAGCAGTGGGTCCCGAGAAACAGGATTGAAAACCACTGATTTATGCTGTTCCAAAAGCGCAACCCGCTGGCAGAGAATTAATTTGCTTTTTCAATAAGCCTGTCTGTTTTTGTTCAGATCAATGTGAAAATCAACCCATGTTTTTATGCAGAAAACTCGCAGAGTTGCAAATGTGAACTAGCGGATCGACAAGAAGTTAATGCATTATAAACATTTAAACAATTAAGACAGTAACATACTGTATATTTATATGTTAATTAATATAATAATTGATTGATAATAATTGTTTAAATTAATATAATAATTTATACTTTTGCCTCCATTTTCTTAAAGAAATGGTTTAAAGGCTGAAAGGTGAAGTTAATCATTTTATAAAACTTTTTGTTTTTGTGAAACCTGTATCTGAACTCTAAATCATGCTTTTTACAGTCATTTTAATTTTTATTTGTGCTGGTCTTAAAAAATGTCTTAAAGTCTTAAATATGAGCTTAAATATCCTGCAGAAACCCCGGTCTGGCAAAAACCCATCAATTCATGTTTTTTTAGGTAGGCCTATATAATAGGGATGCACAGATCCGATACTCAGTATCGGTATCGGCTCCGATACTGGCATTTTCTGCCGGATCGGGTATCGGTCAGACGAGACAAATCCAAATCCGATATTGTGCGTATACTATTCTGTTATTAAGCCGCACGAAAGGCACAAAAACATTATAAAGCACCATAAAGTTTTCGTGCACTATATTCCAAGTGAAGCCGTTCCATATTTAAATATGAGGTAGATGAATATTTAAGTCAAGTTCACGTAAACTCTTGTCTCCGCTGCGGCTGTCTGTCATCCTCCATTCAGCATTCAAACTGCGTGTCGTATTCGGTTTCGACAGTCAAGACGATGAAACTCTTTCCAAGAGCGCACAGTAACTGAGATTTAAAACTGTTAAAAGAAAAGGCTCAAACTATTGCACTCATGATTTTTCTAGAATAACTTTTGATGCTGAATTATTCACTAGCCTAGTTTATAATAGTATTATTGTCATAGTTTATGATTATATATTTTTTCAATTGTTATTTTTCTTTAAAATGAAGTTGTCTAACACACAGAACAGTGATGATCAGGTCAACACACTGAGGTGTAGAAATTCTACATTGATTAAAAAAAAACAGTGCTAGTATCGGATCGGTATCGGCCGATACTCAGAATTTTTGGTATCGGATTGAATCTGAAAAAATGGTATCGTTGCATCCCTACTATATAATTGTCCGGACCTTGGCTGGTGAGAAGGGTTCATTACTGGACCTCAAGCAATTTTAGCTGAAGACCCCTGCTGTAGAACATACTTTTTAAGTGGTTGCAAAGTAATTACTTAAAAGAAGTACCTACCCAGACAGTATGTGATTTTGGATGCAGTCTGTGTTTGAATAATTTTAAACAAAGTTTGGGAACAGGAATCCATTGCTTAAAGGATTAGTTCACTTCCTGAATAAAACTTTCCTGATAATTAACTCACCCCCATGCCATCCAAGATGTTCATGTGTTTCTGTCTTCAGTCGCAAAGCAATTAAGGTTTTTGATGTTTGAAATCTTTCTTGTGGAATAATGCATACTTTTTTTCACTGTTCCTGTAGGCAGTATGTGGTATAAAGTATATACTACATAGTATATAGAAAATAGTATGGATGTGTCCATTCTGAACATAGGCAACAGTTAGGACAGGTTTTAGCCAAGGGTCAGTGTGATTTTTCTATACAACTATTCTGTACTACGTACTAGCTCATACATAAAATGAGTATAGACTACCATTATGTCTAGGCTTTTCTCCAGCAAAGCTCAACAGGTGGCAGTATTTTATTCAGTGTTGTCTTGTGTTTTATTTTTTCACCCGTTTGGTTCATCGGTGTACCTCTTTCACAAGTTCACCCTTACATCTAATCTGATAGCAAATAGTAAGCATATTTTGGCGTGCTGTCCTGGGGGAGGGCTCCAAGCCCGGAATATAGCCCGAACCCAGAGAACTACCCCTATCCCTAATATGGGATGAAAATAGATTAGGAGTGAGGAGTTGGGGTGGAGGAGGGATGCCGGAAAACTGTCGTAGGACAGAGGCAGGTAGGCTGCATATATATATACGTATTGTGCTAGCTAGGATGGTTAGCTAAACGAGTTACACCTGTGCCAAATTGGTTGATTATCTGACCGTGCTCCTCCCGAACCTTGTTAATAAAACATAAGATCCGATACTCAGTATCGGTATCGGCTCCGATACTGGCATTTTCTGCCGGATCGGGTATCGGTCAGACGAGACAAATCCAAATCCGATATTGTGCGTATACTATTCTGTTATTAAGCCGCACGAAAGGCACAAAAACATTATAAAGCACCATAAAGTTTTCGTGCACTATATTCCAAGTGAAGCCGTTCCATATTTAAATATGAGGTAGATGAATATTTAAGTCAAGTTCACGTAAACTCTTGTCTCCGCTGCGGCTGTCTGTCATCCTCCATTCAGCATTCAAACTGCGTGTCGTATTCGGTTTCGACAGTCAAGACGATGAAACTCTTTCCAAGAGCGCACAGTAACTGAGATTTAAAACTGTTAAAAGAAAAGGCTCAAACTATTGCACTCATGATTTTTCTAGAATAACTTTTGATGCTGAATTATTCACTAGCCTAGTTTATAATAGTATTATTGTCATAGTTTATGATTATATATTTTTTCAATTGTTATTTTTCTTTAAAATGAAGTTGTCTAACACACAGAACAGTGATGATCAGGTCAACACACTGAGGTGTAGAAATTCTACATTGATTAAAAAAAAACAGTGCTAGTATCGGATCGGTATCGGCCGATACTCAGAATTTTTGGTATCGGATTGAATCTGAAAAAATGGTATCGTTGCATCCCTACTATATAATTGTCCGGACCTTGGCTGGTGAGAAGGGTTCATTACTGGACCTCAAGCAATTTTAGCTGAAGACCCCTGCACTATGGGGTCGGTGAGATTTCTTGAAATATTTTTGAAGACTCTTCTGCTCACCAGGGCTGCATTTATTTGATCAAAAATACAGTAAAAATAGTAATAATATGAAATATTATTACGATTTCAAATAACTGGTTTATTTGACCAGTTTATATTTTAGATTTCTAAATATTTGTTTATATTTATTCTATGGCTTTTTAAATATATTTTAAAATGTAAATTATTCCTGTGATCAAAGCTTAATTTTCAGCATCATTACTCCAGTCTTCAGTGTCACATGATCCTTCAGAAATCATTCTGATATGCTCATTTGCTGCTCAAGAAACTTTTCTAATTATCGTATTAACGTAATATTTTTGTGAAAATTGTGATATACTTTTTTTTATTTTTCTTTGATGATTGGAAAGTTCAGAAGAACCACAGTTATTTGAAGTAATAGAATCATTTGTAACATTATAAATGTCTTTGCTGCCACTTTTGATCAATTTAATGCATCCTTGCTGAATAAAAATATTAATTCTTTTAATACTTAATTCTTAAGACTTTGGCTATGACCGGTAACATATGTTAACATGCTTATGGTTGTGACAATATTGTCACGATTTCTCAACTGAATTTTCAGCTTTGTTTAAATTAGGGATGGGAAGATTCCCCAATTCGCTCGGTGCATCGGCAAAAAAAGTTAACGATGCGATGCATCGGTTTAAAAAGTGTGCATCGGATACAAGTTGGCATTTGTATCGTGATACATCGTTTCTAACATATTTGCATCTTGCATTCCTGTTGTTCAGTGTTAGAGGAGCTCAGCTTAGTCTGACAGTTTGCCTGCCCTGGACCAGGTTAGCTTTCCAGCATAAGTTGCCACTGTGACTGATTTTGATCTTTATTAAATTTGTTTTATGGAACCAAATCGTTTGACAGCAAGTCAGACTAACTGAAATAAGCCTGGCCTATTTGGTAAACTTGTTTTATGAAACAGGCCTCGAGGCATTAGAAGTCAGAAGACACAAGTTAATTTATGATTTGCTGTCTGCCTGAACCAAAGAAATAAATGCGATCATATTTTTTCCATTGCATCGAATCGCATTGTGTTGAATCGGATCGAATCGAAATCTTGCTTTATGGAACCAAATCATTTGACAATGAGTCAGACTAACTGAAATAAGCCTGGCTTATTTGGTAAACTTGTCTTATGAAACAGGCCTCGAGGCATTAGAAGTGATCATATTTTTTCCATTGCATCGAATCGCATTTTGTTGAATCGAATCGAATCGAAATCGGATCGCACTGCATCGTAATAGGGGTGAATCGTATCGTATCGCTAGCTACTTCATATGTATCGTCAATGTATCGTATCGCATCGGCCTCAGTTATGGAGATGCACATCTCTAGTTTATATGCATGATCTGTATGAAAATTCAGAGAAAAAAAAGTCATTTTCAGAGCATCTACTGTAAGAGAAACAGGCTGATGAATGTCTTAGCACACATAATAGCATCATCATCACCACCTGAAATCAGGTCTGCTGTCTCTTTAAGACCCCTTCCCAGCATGCACTGCTGTGAATGGGCAGTTTTCTGCTGTAGTCTGACAGCAACGGCTGCAGCAGCAAATGCACTCAGCTGGGGAGAAATCAGCAGCTCATGGGCGATTGGGTGGGAGTGGATCTCAGTCCAGCCTCGACACGCACCGCTCTGAGACGCCATCTGCAGAAGAGGAGTCGCAGCCGTTAGAGGGGCTTTAGGGAGCGGGATTGAGCGTTTAGTTGTTGGATGCTGTGTTTGGGAGGGGATCTCACACAGATGTTGAGCTGTCACTCACGCAGGCTGTGGATGTCTGTATTCTGGGGAAGGGGGTGGGATCCAATACAGCTCATCTCTAACACGCCACTGCAAACCGCATATTGAATGGGATGATTCGTATTTGTTCCAGTTTAAAGGGTAGGAAGTTATTTTATTGTATTTTATTATTTATTCATGTGATTATTTATTATTGTTTTATTTTACTTTGCATCAATTTTTATGTATTACTGAAGCGATCCAGCGAATTGCATCTAAAATGCACAGTTTATGTAAGGTTGTTCTGGATTGTGAAAGATTATAAATGACGCTTTTCTTGTGTGCATGATATGGTTAATGATGTTCAGGATTTGAAGACATTTTAAGCATGTTTAATTTACAATTCACAATGTTTGCACTACATTTATTTTACATTTTATTTATTTTATTATTATTAATTATTACAATTAAGAATATTTTGACATTTCTTTTTGAACTACATGTAAAATGCAATGCTTTTTTTACAGTTTTGCTATTTTTTTATTATTGTTTATTAATATATAATTTTGTTTATATTTTAAATGTATTTAGATAATATATTATGCCATTGCTCTGAGTTGTTGAATTACACAGTGTTTCTGGTTTTGCTGCAATATGAAAAGCTTAAATAATAGATCATATTTTTGGACACGTTATACATAATGTTTTTGTTTTTTAATGATTTTTGGTCATTATTTATGGTTTGCAAATATATTTAATCATTTTTTCTTTTACATAACATTTTTATTTCTTTGCCACATTCATGCAACTGTATTTTGCATCTCACTATTTTGCTCCTCTTGTCTTTCTCAGAGCCCAACAACAAGAGCCTCTCACTGTCCAGAACCCGCTCGGCCGTTTTCTTCCTCAACACACTCAAGCGCAACTCCATCCAAAGACGCAAGGTACACAAACACCTGCCTGTTATCATGTCAAACAAACCCTGTATTGTTGACATTGTAGCAGTGATGCCTGTCAAAGGTCATGTGTAGTGTGTTGGGTTAGATAGAGCATGAAGCCATGTGCAATCGCTGTCGTAAAGAACCACAACTAAACGCCCCCGTTACACACAGCTGTTGCCAAAGCTAATTACTCCCATGCTGTCGCCACAATGAGGAAGTTAAAGGAACGATAAGAGGACGAGACAAAAAGGCTGCTATAGTTTGCTTGCTGCGTGTTTGTGGTGCAGGATAATGGTGAAATCATTGTTTATTTCTGTCGATCTGCTGTCGCCACATTATGTAACCTGAGCTGTAAATGAGATCATGTGACCCGTGTCTCTCAGGATCGACTGGCATCAGAGAAAGGATCAAGACAGCAAAAGATGAAGGAGAAAGAGGAGGAGAAGAATGCGAAAGAGGAAAAAGTAAGTGGTGAAATCTAGTTTCTTAATCAAACGGTGCAGTAGTGCTGTTGTAATGCAGTTTACGCCTGTTAGGGGTGAAGACAGATGTTCTGTTGTTATTTCTGCGATTAAACACAACAAATGATGCGCAGACCTATAGATATGGGTGGTTTAGTTATGTATCAGACTTAAAATTAAGAAATATTATTTCAGATCAGGATTAGAAATGACAAAACCTCTGAAAGTGACAAATGCCTTTAATAGTGAAAATATTGGGACAGAAATACCCATTTGTAATTATTTATTTTTTTTTGTATTGATTTTTAAACGTTAAATGTTTAAGCTTATGTTTAATAATTAATTTTTAATTAACCAATATTTAATATATTTTATTCAATGTGTCTTTTAAAATGCTCCCAGCATTCTAAAACTTGAAACGGCAGTTAGATGGAAAATGGCAGCTTTGATCTGATAAAATCATAATTGTTCACAAAGAGAATTTCATATTTTCAAATTTCAAATGCCTTGTAAATCGCAAAGATAAAAAATATCCAGAGTAAATTCATTCCAGGGGGCAAATATTGCTCCCTAGTTAAAAAAAAAAAAAAAAAGTAAATTCTTGTAATGCATTGCTCTATAGTAATTATATGTGCAGTATCTTAAACTTTGTCTAATTGTCCAGCCTGCAGCGCCTGTGGTGCCTGTGGTGCCCATGGCCTCATCAGAGGCGGGCAGCAGTGAGCTCTGTTATTTCTGCAACAAGCATCTATACGTGCTGGAGAGAGGAAGCGCTGAGGGCAAGTTCTTCCATCGCAGTTGTTTCAATTGTTATCAGTGCGGCTCCACTCTACGGCAGGGCGGATACACTTTCCACTCCGACACGGGTAAGCCTGAGATACATTTTATTTTATTTTATTTTTTTACTTTACTTTATTTTACTTTATTTTATTCTATTCTATTTTACTTTACTTTATTATACCTCATTTTATTATTATTAATTTTAATTTACTTTAGTATACTTCATTTTCTTTTACCTTACTACTGTATACTTCATTTTATTTTTATTATTTTATTTAATTATACTTCATTTATTTTGCTTTATTATACATCATTTTATTTACTTCATTTTATTTGACCTTATACTTCATTTTATTTTACTTTATTTCATTTTCTTGTACTTCATTTTATTTAACCTTATTATACTTTTTTGTTTTACTTTATTTATTTATTAATTTTTTTTTTTTTTTGGAGATCAGTGAGTAACAGTAGCTAAAAGTAGGCCTAAATACAGTATATAATTTTTCAGAATTTCTGAATGATAATAAATATTTCAGTATTGATATTTTTTGATATTTCTTATGTTACATAATGCAATTTATTTTATTATTTATCATACACTTGTCTCTCATCTGCTGTCATAAGGACTGAAACATCTTGATGTTATATAAATTATTACATAAGCTTTTAAAGCTATTCATAACGTGCACAGTGTGGAATGCTGTTTTATTAAGTTCTAATTATTACAACACATGTAAATTACAATCAACCACCTATGCAGCCCTTCAAAAATAGATCTTCTTAAATTATCCTGCTTGTGGGGCTTGTTCAATAATTTACCCCTTGTCTAAGAAGAACATGTTGAATTTGATTTGTCTTCAGGGAGATTCTACTGTGAGCTGCACTCAGTGGCTGAGGAAGAGGAGGGTGATGAAGGTCACAGAGGCTCACAGGTATGAATCACATCAGAGCTAATGAGACGCTTGATTGCCTCCTATTTACTGTCGGATCTCTTGTGTGAGGATACTGGGAAGGATATTGCTCTGAGAGTGTGGGGAGCATAATAACTTTCATTATTAAGCCATAGTTCTATAGTTCATATGCACAAAAATATATATGAAATTGATTTATTTGGACTTGACACCATAGTAATAGTTTTTTTCTCAGGTCCGATTTTTAATAATTTTTCTAGTGTTTTATGTGTCAGATGAAAATCAGTGTTATTCATGATTAGGGCTGGACAATAATTCAATATCAATATGTATCGCGATATAATTCGGAATTATATCGTATCGACCGAAATTAAGAAATATATCGTGATATAAATTTTGGCCATATTGTCCAGCCCTATTCATGATCATAGTGCAAACTTAAAGAGTTAGGTTAAGCTCTTATTTGTGCAAGTTTTGTTAAATATGTTATGATGGTATGATAGACAGATGGTCTTTTCTTCACTAAGATATATTCAGCTATTTCTTATGAAACAACATGATATGACGAGAACTAATGTGGGTCTGCTGCTGCGTCAGGGAAAACATTTCCTTTCCTCTCCTGCTCTTGTGCAGAATGGTGTTTAACGCTGAGATTGTGCTGTGAATCCGTTTCTGTGGAGTGTGTGTGTGTGTGTGTGTGTGTGTGTGTGTGCGTGTGCGTGTGCGTGTGTGAAGACTGAAGAGGGCGTCTGTTAAAGTAATGCTTGTGGGATTGGATTCCTAGTGGTTGGTCATAAGACTCCTCAGAGCTGATGCAGTTTTCTGTGAGCTACTGATGTTTTTTGCAGTCACTTTCTGTTGCAACCTATTCAACTGTATGATTTAAAGACAAGCAGTTTTAGTACTACTCATTTTAAACCAACATAATGCTAATGCACATCTGAAGATGAGAATGATTAGCCAATGCTTTGCAAGTCTGCTTTCCCATTGTAGTACTTAATTAAAGCCTATCATGGATAAATAAATATGACACTAAAACCGCCAGTAGGTGGCAGCAAGTCCCTGTCTTAATGGGTGATTCATTGAATCAGTCATTCAAACGATTCATTCAAAATGCCTAATTCGTTTAGAATCAAAGCAAGTGAAGGTCTTTATGAATGGATCATTGAATCATTGACTCAAATGATTTGTTCAAAAAACGATTAATTCAGGAGCGAAACAGCGCAGTGTTACTCTGAGAGATGTCCTGTTCCGACTATTTTTGTTGGTGAAACAGACAACAGACAATATTGTGTGTAAAAAGTAACTCAGTAAATATTAACTTCTTGTTTGTTGCACTCTTGTGTAGAATCGGTACTCTTGCTTATGTGATATTGACTATTACAAATCTTTTATAAAACCATAGTGTTATTTTTTGCTTTCGTAACTTGAATTATAGGTACATTTTTAACTATTCTAATAGGCTTCATCACGCAGTGAATGCTTTTGGACTCTCAAGATGTGTTTTTGTTTGTTTTTTGCATACACACACTTGATAATGTCAGTTCGCACATCGTTAAAACAACAATTACGATATTATTGTAGACGATAAATATCGCACACCCCTAGTGCACTCACATTTACTGCTATTCTGAAAAATGTCACTGTTAAAATTGAGACATTTCAACAGGAGTTCATGCAACCAGGAGTTTTGCTTGTGGGCAAAATATTTTCCTGCACGAATTTTGAATCGATTAAAGATGGTCATGCATATTGAACGACAGAAAGCTGGTTAATTTGAAATGTTTTTGTGAGCAATGCTTTACACATCACTATACTATTGCCAATAATGGTTGACTGATATATTGCCACAGTCGAAAAAATCACTTAATTTTACAATCAGTTAGTAATCTAGTTAAAGTCTCACAGTTAGTTGTAAGCTGTACTGTATATGTGACCCTGGACCACAAAACTTA